AGCTGATCCAATATTTACTCCTGGAGAGAGGGCAAAGGGGCAGGCATTACCCCAGGCAGCCTGAGGCTGCAGTTGGCTGGGTTCTGGGGGAGGGGAGGGGAGAGGAAGGGAGAAGTTGCTCTGTGTTCCCAGAGCAACTGTTCCTAGAGTGTTTCTCAGACCTTAGGTATCTCCTTACCCAACCACCTACCTCCTCTTGCTGCCGCGGGCTGGGAGGGACTGCCGAAGTCAAGGAGTTGAGGGGCCTAAGCCAGGAGTTGCCAGAACTCCAAGCCCCTCCCTGAGAACAAGAAGGCAGCCAGATCCTGCCCTGGTACCCAGTTGGAGGCTTCCAGGGCAGGAGGCCTTCCTGCAGGAAGGGGACGGCTCACTTTCCCTGGAAGGGGATGGGGACAAGGAAAGGAGGTGCCCTGGACTGAGACCCCACTGAGGAAGGAAGGCAGGCAGGCACAAGCGTCAGGACCAGCAGCTGCCACCCCCAAGAGGAGTTGGACCCGCCATGACTCTGTAAGAATCCCGAAACTTGGTCATTTACCTACATTTATGTTCTGATTGTCCCTGGCATGATTAGCAATAAACCAATGCACACTGCCACCAGGTTATTTAGGAGAAAAGTAGTTGAGGGGATCTCCCTGGCCAGCCGGGCCCGGAGGAAAAGCCCTAGGGATAGAGGGAATTGGGGCTGCTTCTTGGAAGGAGAGGGAACAGGTGGAGAGTGGGGCTTTCAGAAGATAGAGGAAACGGGGGGGGGTTTGGGGGGGAGACCGTCAATGTGTTTATTTTCCTGGGGGTCTATTATGTGTCAGGCACTTTATCTAAATCACAGTTAGTTCTCATGATAACATGAACTAGATATTGTTATCCCATTTGACGGATGAGGAGACTGAGGCTGTAAGCAGCTAAGTGACTTTACTAGTCACATACTGCAAGGCAGAGCTGACTACAAATCCAGGTCTGAGTCAGGGCCTGTGTACCATCAGCAGGGCCCTGATGCTCCAGCTTGGCTCCGGGCCCCCTGCAGACTCCAGCAGCCTGGCATGGGGCAGGCCACACTGGGGCAGGGAGTCTCTGCCCCCACCTCAGGGCGCCCACGCTCGAACTCCGTGATCCTGGCAGCCCCTCGATGCTGCGGATCAGGGGCAGCACTACTCAAGAAAAGACACAGGCTCTGGCCTTGGAAGAATCTGGATGCAGTTACCACTCACTAGCATGTGTGAGCTTAGGCAAGTGGTTTAACTTCTCTAAATTGTCTCATCCATAAAGAGAACCTAATCGTGCTTACTCCATAGGGTCGTTGGAGGATCAAATGAGAGAATGTAAATAAAATGTCTAATACACAGTAGGTGCTTAATACATGATAGTTCTTGGCATGGTTGGCTTCACAGACATGCATTCATGCAGTGCCCAGGGGGTCCCACACACAGAAGGCCCCACACCTGGTTTAATGCTTTATTGTTGCCTTCTTCCTCCTCCTCTTCTTCTTCTTCTTCTTCTTCTTCTTCTTCTTCTTCTTCTTCTTCTTCTTCTTCTTCTTCTTCTTCTTCTTCTTCTTCTTCTT